ATACAGTGTTAATATTTAATGGGCCCCGGGCCACTTTGTACTATAAAAATTGGGCCTCAAGGTCAAAAAGGTTAAGAACCCCTGGTCTAGAGAGCGCGTTGATGGTTTGGTTTATGGCACGGCTGACTGATGGTTGCGATATTCCTAAACCGTCGGCATTGCAAAGTTGCATTTTCCCTGTTGCTAAATATCGTAGTGTTGCCAAACATTTTATTTCCGGACTAATCGGGTTATTCCTGTTAGTCGGGGATGTTATTGCATCCCGCACTAATTCCACAACAAGTTTGATACCCTCACGATTTAGCCTATATCTCTTGATCAATTCACAGTCTTCCATTGTCTCCAAAACATTTCGTCTCGCAGCCATTTTCAGATTCTTTGTGAATAGGTCTTACTGAGTTAGGAGTCCTCTCGAGGACTTTTAAGCTCTCCTAAACTTAGGTGCTACTTTTAGGCCTAAAATACTTTGTGAATTGCTCTTAGTGAATAAAGTTAGGAGTCCTAAATTTAAGACTGACACGCCCATTATGTTTAGGAGTTTCTCCTAAATTCGCCAGTTAGGAGCTACTTTTAGCCCTAAGATCCTTTGTGAATACGGCCCCTGATCTCTCTCTCTCTGGCGTCCGGTTACACTTCACTCGCGTTTATGTCCATATCGATCAGATCCAGCTCTCCTGATCGGCCTTTATAGAGAGCACAGATCAAACTATTAAGAGTGATAATGATCGGCGGCCAATCGATCGGAGCATCGGACATTTTGACCGGCAGGTTTTGAATTTACCGGTTTTTATAAAATTTTACCAGCTAAAATGTAATTACCGACCAACGGAAACCCTGCTCTGTTCCCGGAAATGCATCCATGAAGGAGCCGTGGAGGATCCATCAGTGTATCCTCGGTTATAGTTCCTCCAGAGAGCCTCCTCGACGCTCGATCCTCGAACTGCATTTAGAGAAATGAGATGTCCTTCAACATGGCGCACTGAAATTCATTTCCGGGTCACTACCGGAGGACCGAGGAGTCGAGGAGGGGGAATTGATGAAATGAGAAAGGGCCAGAGAATGGCACATTACCAATAAAGCCTTATCACTCACAAACAATAGTCTTACTTGCAAAATAGTTGAAGAACCTGTCCTCCCTGCCAAAGATCTCCGAGGGCTTCATGATGATCGCGTCAGGAAACTCATCTCTCACTGCTGCCTCTCCTACGGCCTATAGTCAACAAAAATAACTCACAATGATGAACGAAATTTCTACAGGTTAACCTTTTACTGGCATGCATCCAACATGCCACAGACACAGATACACTTTGTACTAATTGACAGAGAGAGAAACAACCCTCTACCTTGTTCCTGAGGTATTTGGACGGGCTGCGTAAGTCGGCGTTGAGGTGAGACATGTGGACGAGCTTGGTGACGCCGGCCTCTCTGGCTGCCTTGGCAATCTGCTGAGGGATGCTCACGTAGACATCCTCGAAGCGATAGTTACTTCACACAAAAAGAGGAGAAATACTTGCATGTGAATGTTTCCTTCAATTTACATGGCCATTCAGCTTTGTTCTCCAAAAATCACCAACATCACAAAGCCAGCTTTGATTATTGTTCATGTGTACAACAAAATATAACATAAATCTCGGGATGCACTGATGCATAGGCAGTTCATCGGCAACTAGAACAAAATACAAAAAGGGCCATGACATTTAACTTGTCCCAGGTAAATACACAACATTTATTCATTTTAGTTTAATACATTTGTTTGACTGAATTTGTGATCATTCAAAGTAAATGTAATGTAGGGCTTATATTACAAATGTACTTCCCTGGCACAAAAAAAGAATAAAAATCAACAACAAAAAACGTCAGCATTGGCTGAATTGTTATGCTCAACACTGGTATTGGCTTGAAAATGTGCAACTGGTGCATCCTTAGATAATATTTTAACATACTATACCTTGTCTCCCACTCTCTGCCCACCAGGTTGATGACAACATTAGAGTGCTCCAAAGCGTGTTTGATGGAGTCTTTGTTCCTTGCATCCCAGTCCTGCAAAGAGACAGAACAGAGATAACGTGTTTGCATTTCATTTCAGGCTCCAAAGTGTTTATATCAAATACTTATTTAGAATACTTCAGCAAGATTCCTGTGTGTCTGTGTTGGTCTTACCATGAAAAGGATCTGTCCAAGATCACCCATGGGTCTAAGGTACATGACATCATACTGATCGCAGCGGTGAGGGATTACAACCTGAGAGCCAATCCGACCTGCAAATCATCATTTGATAAACGCATACAATCAAATCTTTGCGCAAGGAGCTAAGAAAAGGAGAACACAGGGGTAAATTGTTTTTGAATAGGTCAACAAGATACCGACATTTAAATGAACTGCAGTGAAAGGCTCAAAATAAAATGCATGTGCCCTTTTAAAGGATTTGTTTACATTTTTTCTCTGGTTATCAAGAGCTAAAATAAAATGCTAGAGTACCTATCAGTTCTCGTAAACCACTGAATTTAAAACATATGGTCATAACTGAGATGATATCTTATCAGGGATATAGCAAACATGGGGGGAAGTTTTAAAGCACCAGCTCATAAAGTAAATAAACAAATGTGTTAAATATGAAGTAAATATTAGCGAGTGGAAAGATATTTTACATCCATATTTACACCGTACATGTTAGACTCACCCAGCCTGTTGACCACGTATCGCCCCAGGAAACCTGTAGCACCAAACACCGTCGCCGCTATCCCACTGGAGGAGGAGCGTCCTCCTTTCCCTTTGGGGAGGACGGCATGGTGGAGCTTCCTCTGCTGGACGGAGGTGACGGAGGCCGCTGACAACACAGCAGGGGAGCAGCCACCTGCAGAGGGACACAGGCAGCGTTTCATACACATCCGGTGGTAAGACTACAACTTGACAATGAAGTTGGTACACATTGCTTAATCTAATTTAGCAATTCAACCGAACTTCATGGTGGTTATGTTTATTTTTTAAATGATTTTTTATTGAAGATTGTGGAACTGTTATTGATGCTTTCTTTGATGTAACCACACCTATCTATCTATACTGTATATCTATCCATCTATTGATAAATATAATAGTGCTGTCAATGTTTAATGCCGGCGATTCATCTGGAAACCTTAACGCGTTTACATTTAACGCCAATTAATCTAATTACCAAGTTTGACCCAAACTTCCTCTTGTAATTCCAGCACGGATGTTTACTATAAATTGCATGGCACTACCTCTGTGTAACCTCAGCCTGTGTATCGCACCTTTTACAGAAATGACCGCTGTTCTCCATGATAGTGGGTTTACTGATGTTATAGCCAAGTGTGGGGAAATTGTCCAAATGTATGCAAAGGTTTCAAATATCACGTGTCATTTAGTTACACAACATTTTGATTTCCCTTACAAATTTGTCATGCAATTATTTATATACAACACCACACGCGTATGTGTTTTACCTCCCCCAAAATAAAAATACAAGTATTTTAAACAAGATGAATCATGATCGATCACAGTTTATTATTGTTTTTATACATAATAACAAACACAGAAGGGCGTTTTTAATGTAATAATGTATATGAAATTAAAAACCCTATTCTGTGTAACATAATATAGTTAACATTCACCACAGACTACAGCCTTGATATCAGATCGTTACGCTGAGCATTGCACTGTTATGGTATTTCGCCACTATTATTTTCTCCCTCTCTCTCACTACACACTACAAAACTAGCTATAAGATATAGAAAACTGGTGAATGCACTGAGCAGATGAAGAAGACGTCTTTTAAGGCTCCATGCTTACTTATACTACTTACGAATAATACAATTACAAACAGAAACCTTGTGATGTAAAGTGAGCAGAGAGGAAACAAACAGTAACTCAGTGTCACTGTACAGACGCATATTATTATCAGCATCGTTAGTGTAAAACCACAGATATGTTATTACGTAATGTTTAGATCCCGGGTTGTATGTTTATTATAAACTGTAACGTTCAGTCATGTTTTGAGCCACTGAATCAGACGTCACGTCAAGTTGGACAACTGGAAAGGACATTGCTAAAGCACTGCCAAACGTAACTCAATACCCTCAATTTACAACACATAACGAGGTTTGGGTGGTAATATGGTAAAGTAACTCAGCTGATAGTATTTTAAATAATCAAAAAGTTCAATTGTAAGCTAGTAGCTCGCTAAAGCCCATGCTAGCAGGTAACTAGCCGAGCCTGTTAGCAAGGTCACTCAATCGCAGAGTGTGTAGTCTAACTGTGAGCCTGGGTTGGCAAAGCATGTGTAAAGATCTTAAATCACACCATAATACTCTAAGTTTTTATTGTAGTTATCAAATGCGTACTGATTTTACATTACTCACTTGCAATCCTTGGAAGGACACCTGCAGGACGGCTAACCAGCGCTAAGGTCGCCATCTTTCAGACTACGGCATATCGTGTGGGCCAAATTACGCTTGCGTCACTTCACCACTGGTACACGGAGACAGTCTAAAAATGAAAAGTGCTGTCTTAACAATACAAGGTACGCTATCAAAAATACACTAACATGCAGCCTCTGGTTTAACAATGAAAATACTTTAAAATAAAATGCTTTAAACAACATGGGCATTGGGCATTGGACTTTGCTTTCTATTCCTTTCTATTCCCATACTTCTGACATTATATTTTCTGACTGAACTCAAATGGTGGAATATGTGTGCTTCCAGAATACTCTTGCAACCTTAAATATAATGAATATATTTAATCAAAATTCTATAAAAGCTATTTTAAAATAGTAATTTTGATGCACTGAATAATTTGAAAGTAAAGAAGGTCCAAGCCAATACTGTCATCACCTGTTCCTGCACTCAGCAGCAGGTGGCAGCACTTTAACATGTACCAGCCAATCAGAGCTCCTGCTGCTTAGAGCAAAATGAAAGCTGCAGATGTTTACATCGAGGCAGGTGCTTTATTGAGATATTGAGAGACAAATTAGTAAATTAAATACTTGCAAATAAATCATATAATGATAATAAGGCTTTGTAAACTAACCAGCTTACAAGTGATTCAGATTTTAATAATGTGCCATCGATGCCTCAGTGTCATTTCAAGTTGAAGCAAGGAAACAAAAACACAAAAGTGAATAAGGAAATATTGAAGAATATGTTCTTTGAAACAACGTTTTATTTGATCATAAAATACAAAAAGACATAATAATTCATATAACTATAACGTCACTTTTGCTATTTCATCTGCAATCAAACTTCCTGGGATATCTTGCGGCTTATGGATAGTGAGGGGCAAGGGTCTATATACACTATTTCTCTGTTGGCGCACAAAGACCTAAACCAATTGTAAAAAGCTGGTTAATAATGTTTACCATAATTGTTTCTTTTGTAACGTTAGAAAAAGGGATCCTGGCAGGGTCTGAACCCTTGTCTGTTTGATTTGTTTCTAATCTGAATGTATACACACATCATAAAGTGCAAGATTCCTAATACTGCAAGGCACAAACTATCAAGATCAGGATTGTCTTTTTGTTTCTAATATAAAAAATGAATAACGCAGACATACAACAAATATGTTCATACAGTTACAACACAACAAGTAAAACCTTGTCTAAACCCTCAACAAATATCTGAAATATTTTCTTAAAATATGTTTTATAGTACACAAACATAGGAAATTACAGAAGAAATATATATATATATATATATATATAGGTTCTATTACAAATACATATTGTATGATTGTTGAATGCAGATGTTAAACAACTATGAAACATAGAATCAAACATATTCCAAAATAAATACATTAAATTATCAATAACCTACTTGTCATCGACTGCATTCCATAATTAAAAAGTGACAATAATTGTATTTGTCAACATGATTAAAAAAATCTTTTTTGGCTCAGCCTTTATTGCACGCACTTCTCTTAATATTTTACCATTACTGAAGTAATGCTAAAATGTCTAAAAGGAAAAAAAGAATAAAAAGAATATCAAAGATTTGGTAGCTTTTATACCCATGCACGTCTACTACTTTTTTATCACGGAAACTAAAAGTGTTTATTGACTAACCTGTTTATCCAATAACTAATACATGAGAGAGAAACAGCCAAAAGCTGATGCTGTACTTTGAATTAGGATTTAAACCATTTGATCTAATTTCAACATTATGCATACTTGTGTGGGGAGTAACAATTGTGACACATTAAAAAAAAATATATATAGCCTGCAACTGCATCTTAAGTATTTCATAAAAAAAGTACAACTGGTTGACTTCCACAGAATAAAATAATTCACTGTAGCTGTCGACTTAAAACCATAAATAGAAGATGTCCATCTTTGCTGATGATCAGTTTGTCCCGTATACATCAATATTTAGTTTCAATATGTGGAAACATATTTTGTTCTACCTGTCCGTAGAAAACATCCACTTCTTTCAAACGTGAAAGTCCGACTCATGCATGTTGTTCTGTGACGTCACGTAGAGACTGAAGCAACATGGCAGTGTTTGTAGTAAATGAGAACATACATTCTCATAAATTAAATTGTGTGCAGGGACAACCAAATGCAACTTTCTCTCAGCTGTCCATTTACTATGACTTCACCAACTCTATCACTATGAGCCTAAACAACATCTTGTCACGATCTTAGCACGATTCCCTCTGCCTGTTACATGATGGGGGGCAAACACTGAGACGACTCCTGGCTATCTTTTCTCTCCGTGCCCGCTTCCTCTTGAGGCTGGATGACGATGTGAACGGGCCTCTCTCCACTCTTGGTATCTGTGGAGCAATTGCCATCACCATTTTCATACACCTCCTCCTCTGCTGAGGCCCCGATGGGCCGCAGACGCTCGGCGGGGGCCATCTTTGCTGCTGAACCGTCTCTCTTCAGCTTGTCCATAGCGCTGCTGTCTGAGCTGAACTTCTCCGCTGTCAAAAGAAACAAAGGACATTAAATGGTAGCTAAAGATAGATAGATATATAGATATATAGATAGATAGATAGATTCTTTATTCTTCCCAAATTTGGGAAATTATAAAAAAATAAATAAGAAGAATCTGCATTTAACCCATCCTGGTATCAAGGTCATTCTAGGACTTGAACCGGTGACCTTTCGGTTCCCAAGCCAATCTCTCTGGACTGAGCTAACACACCCTACTGGCTCAGGTTAATTTAAACCAATTATCTTGATATGTCTGCTACTTTGGTACCAGTAGGACTTTGCTTTATTATAGTTGTTTGTATACTTTGCTTCAAAATGCTCCTTAATAAAGACGATGAGGTGGACTGTACTCTTACCAGGCTTGCTGGTCGAACTGTCTGAGGCCTTCTTCACTGTCGACCTGGTTCTTGGCCGGACTCTGTTGAAATTTCCCTCCAGGATCCACTCATGCTGTAGCCCCTCATCTGGAGTCATGCGTTTGTTTGGGTCCCAACTGAAACACACAGAAAAATAATTAAATTTTTCAAGTGCAAATTTCAATTTGATCTTTAATAAAGTACCAACTTAATGTAAAAGTCACATCCAGCACATTGCAGATAAAAGAAAGTAGATGTGAACATACGTGAGGCAGCGTTTGATGAAGTCCAAGAACAAAACATCGTTCGTTTTCAACGCAGCGGACAGCTCCTTGGAGTTTGGCCTCCTCTTCTTCCCCTTGCTGTTCGTGATGTTCCTGGGGTTTCCTTTGGAGTCTGATCACAATTGTCAAACACAGTTCAGATTCATCATCTCTTCATCTACAGAATTATCTCACACCTTCTGCAAAGTCCCACCCTAGATATTCATTTAACTTTTGAGAACATTAGTAATCCTATCTCTACGGAAACAAGACATATTAAAAAAGATACAAAAATAGAGATAAATACTCACCGAAGAACAACCTCCTCCTCGATGCTGACTGAACAAAATCATTTGGAGGCATCCCAAGAACCTGTGAGTCACAATATTAGACATCTTAACAACCTGGAGCAAATCAACAACCATATTGGAAAATTGTTCTGTATTTACATTTGTGAGCAAAACAAACACATTTAAAATGGGCACACAACTCTTTCCATGTCGTACCTCCATTATGCAGGCTATCTGCTCCACTTCGCTCTCTCCTGGGAAGAGAGGATAGCCTGTGTACAGTTCACCAAGGATGCAACCCAGACTCCACATATCAATGGCCATGCTGTAGGGGTGACCCAGGATGACCTCGGGAGAGCGGTAGAAACGACTCTGGATGTATGTGTACACTAATGGAAGAGACAGAAGAGACTGTGATGGATATAAGTTCTCATAATGTAGCATTTCTCAGCATATCCAGACATGGTTCATATTGTTAAATATTCTCTCAGTTGAGTTTCATGCCCCTACCTCTTTGTTGTTCGTAACAGCTTGATCCAAAGTCCACCACCTTGATGTTACCTGGCCCTCTCTGAGACAGGAGGATGTTCTCCTGTTCACAAGCAGAAGCAAAACATAAAGTTCAAACTATTTGCTTATATGTAATGCTGATGCAATATTATACTCATCCACAAGATGGAGCAAAATTCATAGTTTATTTTTGGGGATTTCTTTGCAGTACAATTGCCAACAGCGGTACAGGGATTTTGTTCAGAAGTCAGGTTCTGATGACTATATTTTAAATTGTGTCTCAATTATACATGAAAAAACCAAGTTCAGAAACTCTGTGGGAGTACCGGTTTGAGGTCGCAGTGGATTATCTTCTCCCTGTGTAGCATCTGAAGGCACCGCAGGAGAGCATGGGTGAAGCGGCGGATCAGAGCGATACTGAAGCCCTGGAAGTTGTTTTTTTTTATCAGCTCATACAAGTTCACCCTGAGGAGAGAAACATAATGGGATGTATGGTTAGCTTACAGTGCTGTTAAAACACAAACATTGGTTTTGTTTCCCTTCACGATAGGCGGACTCCTGTTCAGCGTGATGATGTTGCACAGTAAGGGATAATGTGCAATGTGGTGGTCATTAATAAAAAAAGAACACCTGACTGGCTGATTATGGAGCCCAACACAAAGGGTGTTCTATTTTCATTAATGAAAGCCTCGGAGAACATTATTCCACTTATTACACGACCGATACTAAATAAACCAACAACTTGGTCCTTAAACAATGCCAGAGCCCATACCGTGTGTCTGTATGTGTTTATTTCCTGTCTGCCTTCTTCTGTTGATTTCTCTGATATCCAACGCTCTGTCTTCTTAGCGCTTTCCTCCCTCCTCCTTAGCAATGGTCATTATTTTGCTTAGCAGTGGTGTGTTATCAAGTATTAACACCCTCGGATAATCATAGTATTCAACTAAGCCGTGTTAAAGCATGTGTTAACGACTGCTCTTATTTCAGGCAACTAACCAAAAACTAATAACTTCACAACCAGAGAACCCAGAAATGCTAAAGTTCTAACTTATTTCCATGGTTTAGGACTCATATCCACATCCTTTTTTTAAATCAAATATTAACAACTGTTTCTTAACTAAATTATGAGAAAAAAGGCTGCTAAATCTGAAGTCCCCCAACACTTTACATCACCCTTAATATAACGTCCACTGTCAAGCGAATACTCAAATAATCTATGAATGTGCTCACGTTTAGAGGGATGGACAGAGACCCAGAATGTGTCCTCCTACTACCTTTTGCTACTTCTAATAAGCCTACATTTCTTCAGAGTGTGTAACTGGAGCCTTCACACCATGAAGCAACAGGGGGTAAGAGATAGGGCCCTAATCAAGGCCTTAACTAAAGGATTCTGTGACAGTAATGTTAGACAAGGTGGCGGTCCAAGACGTCCTCTAAAGGTCATTCAGCCTGAGTGATACACACAACGCTGTCGCTTCAGATGGGTATCAGTTCCCAAAACACCGGAGGCTTAGACCCCATTTACACGCAAACGCAAATGCATACGAAACGCAAACGAACAGTAGCTACTGCCACTGCTACAACAGTGAGCAGCAGAGGTGGGGAGAGGCGGGGCTATGGCTTCATCGTTATCAGGAAATGATCGTAAAGGGCTTACACAAGGAGCCGTTTTCCCCCCAGAGCGTTCCGTTTGCAGATCTATCGTTATCGTTTGGGGGGGCGTTTCCGCGTTTCCGTTACGGGCTAGTGTGAACAAACGGGCTATACGAAAGAGAAAAGTAGCGGATACAACCGTTTGCGTTCTCGTGTAAACAGCACCTTAAGGTACACAGGTGATCACTTAACTCCTGATTGCCTGCGGTCACATAGTATTACTGGAAAAGAGACGAGTCATTGGAGCCTTTGATAACAAGTTGCAGTGATCTAAGCGTGTTGTTGTTCTCAGGAAGGTGGCTTACCCGGAATAGGCTAGATCAACAGATTAATTATTCAGTAATGTGATAACTCATGATTGTACTAACCCGAGAAGCTCAAATGAGATGCAGAGGTGATTTCGGAAGTAAAAGTACTCCTTCATGTGGATGACGTTGTGCATGTTGTCTTTGTCTTTCCTCTTTATCACATCCAGGATCTTCAGCTCAACCAGGGCTTGGTGATGAAACCTACAGACACATTTACAGAAGCTGTTAGTTAACTGAAATTAAAAAGTACGTGATTGAGATTCTTCTTTCAATTTTATTTCCAAGAATTAAGCTGGCAGAATAATTAAAAAGGGGTATTGTGCTTTTTGGGATTGTACCTTTTCCTGTAGTGTTTTATAAAGGTTTTTGTGCATGTAAATGGTCTTCAAAGGCTACCATCCCAAAGTTCCTTCCAGAGGGAGTTTCTCTCCCACACACTCCCTCCTGCCTGAAACGCCTCCACTGTAGTCTTTGTTTACCTCCGTGACATAGTGACATCACAGCGTAACACTTCTATTGGCTAGAACTCCAACACATTGTACATGAAAGGCTAAGGGCCGGGACATGTAAAAGCGGTTGACCAATCACAACAGAGCCTGCCTGCTAACCAATCAGAGCCGACTGGGCTCTGGTTTCAGACAGAGGGTGAAAAGAGGTGCTGCAGCACAGGCACTATGAGAAAAATAAATAGCTTTTTGAACATTAAAGCATGGAGACATGTCACAGTAGAGGCACACCAAATATGAAACCTGAAAATTAGCATAATATAAATACATTTATTCAAGATCCTAGATTCCAAAGTGGTGAGAATGCTTGGAATCTTTTTAGAATATATGTAATGAAAATATCTGCTGATGTTTTTCTCTTCTGCAGAGGTTTCTCCCAGCACACAACACCCTAACATCCTTAAACATTCCTTTATGTAAAGGGTTTTTGTTCCTCTCCTGGAAGAGATAATATCAGCTATTGCAGGGCAGAGTTTGCTCCCTCTACAGTATCTGTTTTCTGTATTATTAAAGTGGCGGTAGGACCCGATGGATGCTGCGGCGAACCTACATGACCTTTACGATCACTGTGTCAGCCGCTGCCCCAGTGATCCTGGGGGAATGAGGACAGGTAAGATAACACCCCCGGGGGTCGACTTCTATCATGCTAAAACATGATCTCAGCGATTTGGCAGACTCGTTAAATGTAAAGTGAGCACGGGACAGGCATTTGGGAAAACCTCACAACAGTGTCAGACCTCAAGTGAATGAAAAAAAAATAACTCCTTAAATGTGACTTGTGAAATTACTTATCTATAGAGTGAGGTATAGCGTCATTTAAATACAAGAGTAATAAATGGGGTATTTTATAAAAATATTCTGGATAAGTAAATTGAAGATACTTTCTAGGAAAGGTTCAATCAAATGTAGCGAGTTGTGAACTAGAATGAAATATCTCTGTGTACCTTTTCTTATTGCGTATCATCTTGATGGCTACGAGCTCATTGTTCTTGTGGTCGAGACATTTGAGGACCTGCCCAAAGGAGCCTTTCCCGATCACTTCGAGCACTTCAAACCTGTAGCCAATATGGTCATGCAGCACCTTGAGGAGCAAGAAGGAGAGCACAGTCAATATTTGAAGAGACTTATAACCTCGGTATATATCATCATCTTTAATGTACACCATTAAAAAATAAATAAAAACATGTGTACTTAAAACTTTTTTGGCACTTCATAGTGAACAACAGGATTTTTTAAATGATTTACTTTAAAAAGAATAGATTGTTTTTCATGTATATGTCCGGAAGTAATACATTTATCAAATCAGATGAAAGTTGCTTTTTGAAAGTAAATATAAATGTAATACATTCAGGTAAATGTGTGCATGATAGCTACTGTTAATAGTTTTGTTAAAGTATTTCCTCAAATACAGTTAGGATGCACATCATGCTTCCTCACACTGATCTGTGTGTGCAGTGTTAACTGTGATTGCCAGCTGAAGCCAGTGAGATGAGCCTCAATGAGAGTCTACACAATGGACAGTCACTCAGCCCTAAACAGCTCATTCATTACATATCACATAACACATACCTGTCTGTCAGTCACCGGATTTATCCCAGATGATGACCTCAGTTCAGTTTATTGTGCCAAATATTAAACAATGAAGACCAACAGACTGGCTGTGGGTTTATGTCTGCAGCTCCAGGATTAAGATCACATGAAGGCATCTTGTCTTGTATAGTTTAGTTTAGGCAGTTACAAATACTTTGTGTGTCTGCAGAATTGTAGTTCATCAAGCTGCTGACTTTTATAGAACTATGGTGTTTATCTGTTTAAACTTATGACTGAACACTTTGTATACAAAATCATACGTGTGTAGATTACATTATTTTAGTAGCTACAGTATGAGTTTCAGCTCTTGCTGGCAATTCATGAAAGAAATGCTTAAATTCCATAAAGAAAAAATCCCATTTCATCACCTTCTCTCTGTCAAAGCTGACTTCAGCAACTGTTTACATCTAAGGCTTGGGAGACTCAAAACAGCCTCACTTTTTCAGTCCAAGATGTATCTGTTTCCATGACAAAAGTTTGTATGCCAGGCTTGAGTTTCAACCACAAACCTTGTATATGTATCACATTTTTACATTTAACAATAGTTTGAAAAAAGCAATTGTCATAAGTGACAAGGAAGTCTTTTCTAAATGGTCTCTACTCGTAACCACTTAACCACACTACATTAAAACAATGATATGATTGTGACAGACCACCCTTACCCTGACGTAACTTCCATGCTCGTCATCATATCCATTGTTCTGCGGTGTTCCTTGGGAACCCTCGATCTTCTGAGAGCCGGCACCAAGGAACCAGATCTCTGCGTAGTCCATGATTTCCTCCTGCTCAAACTCTGTCATCCGGTCCTTGAAGTTCTTCAGTGCCTCTGCAACAGGAAGAAAGAGGAGGGGGTGAGTCACTATGTTATTGATCACATCTCTGCCAAAAGCAGACAATTGTGAACAGTTGACTTCAATGCCAGCTTTTTTAAAAGGCATCAAAAATAGTTAGTTAGTTATATGTTTGTGATGTAACTCCCTCCAAAGATTTAAAATGGAATGGAATAACATTTCTGTGATACACTATTTGTATCTGCAATAACATACCCATGGGGGACATGGGTAGCCTTTGTCCCTCGAATGCCTTCTCTTTCTCCAGCTTGTTGCTGAAAATCTTGCTGTTGCGGGAGACGGACATTTTATCCATTGCTGCACCAAAGCGCATGCTGAACTGCTGAGCGGGCTTTTGCCTCTCATCCTGTACAACAGACACACAGGAAGTCCATTTATAATTACGAGCAAAACAAGATTAAGACACTAGTGTGACCTTCGACATGTTTTCAATATCTATCTATCAAATTTGTGATATATTAGCGACTGTGGATGTTTTACGGTTTGCTGGTGTATGAGCGCCTCACCGGCTGTGACTGATAGTTTTTTTGGCCCCCCTTGTTGGCAATTTGGGGCAGGATGCTGTCCGACTGCTGGTTTTGGTTTTTGGCATTGCTGACCACCACCTGGACAACGGGTGGCTCAAGCTGAGGCAGGGTCCCTACACCAGAACCAAACTTCTGTAAACAAGAGGAATTGAATTGTGAATATCAGTGTGACTCGGAAGAAGGAAGATTGCAGTCTAATTGGCATAAACAGAATAATTAGGAAAATCAACAAAGAGACAGGCCAACTTCCACAGCTAAAAGGCTTTTAAGATATTTTCCTGTGGGGAATAGCAGTGTCTTTCAACACTACAGAAGAATGAAAAGCACATAAATACACAAAATAAGAACCATGTACAGGGAGTGGGTCATTGAGTGTGAAATCTAAAATAATAATTATTTTTATTTTTATTGTATTTATAATATTTGAATACTACAAGCTTGTTGTTAAATGTTTCCCAAGCATGTGTCTGTGTCGCTGCAGCTCGTCAGTTGTGTGTTCTCCACTAGTGATCTACATCTCTTCTTTATTTGCTGAGGCTCAGGGCCCAGGAGTTCAAAACTTTTAATCTCAATCAGATCCGATCAGATTTTGAAATCCCATTTTTTGTGATCCAGGATCAGACAAGTCGGACCAAATTTTGTCCCTGGAGTTCAAAGCAATTCAGGATAGGATCAGCCTGATCCAGATTACGATTTTTCAAGATGACATAATCCTGAATATCAGTGCTTTAATCCTACCGATCGCCATCTAGTGGACATGAAAAATAATACAAGGAAGACAAGAGACCACATTGCAGACATCTATAATGTTTAATTATATTTTTAAATACATAAAGGACATCAAATCATAATGAAATTGTACTTTAAAAAAAAACTCCCACTAGGGTAACAACAATAAAACTTTCATTCAAAGGCAGCTGGATCATCCAGGCGTGCTTTGAGGAGCTGAATTCTCAGTGAGGTTTCAGTTTGCTGAAGCCGGCACAGCTGTAGTTGTTCTTGGGCCAGACGGATCTGAATCTCTGCCCTCTCCGTTTCACGGCTCAGCAGTTTCTCATAGGCATCATCCCTCTGCTCTGGTTGTCTGGTCCACTTGAATTTTCTCTTTCGAGGTGGCTCTTGCAGGATGTCATCATCAGGCCTGGCTGAAGGTCCAGCTGCGGCATCCACATGGGTCAGGAGGACCTCGTCTTCGTGTGTCACATCAGGTGCATTGACGACCTGAAATGAAAGTTCATCAATATACTTTATACCCCTTAATAAGATG